GGGAGGGTTCAACAACCCACCCCCCCAGGATGCACAAGCGCACCAGCGTTCCTACCGTCCCTGTCCTAATATTCCCTTTTTTACTTACTCTTTTCATGTATTCAAATTATATTGCTGAGCACATTGTAAGCCGCCCTGAGTCTCCGGAGAAGGGCGGCATACAAATCAAATTAAAAAATAAAAATAAAAAAAAATTATGTTTATTTTATTTTATTTCGAATTTATATACCGCACCTTCTCCCGAGGGACTCAGGGCGGTGTACAGCCAGCTAAAAACATACAATACAAACATTAAAAACAATTCAAAGGATATATATTTAATTTGGCCCCAATTTAAAATGACAAAACAAGTTAAAAAATGTTTTTTAAAAAATGTTATGTTTAAAAAAATGTTATAATTTTACCTGTTATCTTATATATGCTTGACAAATTTAGGAAGAGATTTCTTAGGAAGAAATTTTTAAAAGTTTTAATTTGGTTTGTGATTTTTAATTTTGGGGCCAAATTTATATATATTTTAATTGTTTTTTAATATTTGTATTTCATGTTCTTAATTCTGGCTGTACACCGCCCTGAGTCCTCAGGGAGAAGGGCGGTATATAAATTGGAAATAAAATAAAATAAAATAAAAAATAAAATGTGCAAAGAAGAGCACCTAACTATAAGATGAGCAAAAGACCCAGCTGCAATGAGTCAATTGACGTTTGAATTTAGAGAACGGGAAGATACAACAATATTATTTGAGATGGGATTTGTTTTATCAATGGATAGACAATAAAACATGGAGATGAAATATGAGGTTGATGTAAAGATAAAATATGTGAAGTTCTTTTTTATGAGAAATAAGCTCTTGTCACAAATTGGTACTTTGGAAATGGGATTAAGCACAAAAGAATGTTAACCGATCGACATACCGTCTGTAATTGTTTGGAATGATGACAGTTTTATGTTTTGTTTCTCTTTTTAAAATAAAAAATTATTTTAAAAAAAAAAAAAAGATGAGCAAAGACCCAGAGGCTAAAAGACGTGAAAAATGGTTGCAGGAATTGGGTTTTGGTTAGTCTAGCGAAAAAGAAAGACCAGGAGAGAGAGTTAACAGAGTTGGAAGGGACCTTGGGAGGTCATCTAGTCTAACCCCCTGCTCACCCAGGAGACCTGTACTAGGGATTCGAACCGCCGACTTTTCTGACCGACAAGCTCAATGTCTCAGCCACTGAGCCACCTAGCAATGTTCCAATCAGTGGTGGGTTTCAAATTTTTTTACTACTGTGGGTGTTGCTTGGTGGATGTGGCAGGGGAAGGATACTGTAAAATCTCCATTCCCACCCCACTCCAGGGGAAGGTTACTGCAAAATCCCTATTTCCTCCCGATCAGCTGGGACTCAGGAGGCAGAGAATAGATGGGGCTGGGGCCAGGCAGAATTTTTACTACCGGTTCTCCAAACTACTCAAAATTTCCGCTACCGGTTCTCCAGAACTGGTCAGAACCTGCTGAAATCCCACCTCTGGTTCCAATGTTTGAGGGGCTTCCGCAAAGAAAGAGGGAGGGGAGGGCTCCACTTATTTGCCAAAGAAACTGAAAGGCAAAGACGAGAAGCAAATGGATGGGAACTAATCAAAAGAGAGAAGCAACCTGGAATTAAGGAGAAATTTCCTGACAGTGAGGACAATCCATCAGTGGGACAGCTTTGCCTCCAGAAGTTGTAGCTGCTCCATCTGTCACTGGAGGCTTTTTAATTAAGAAGAAACTGGACACTCACTTGTCTGAAATAGTCCAGGGTCTACAGGATCCAATCTGGGTCGCTCACTGGGACCAAAGCTTTTTGTCTTCCATGCTTTCTAGCAAGTTCCCTGAAGATGGGTTCCAACACGAGTCCGAATTAAGCTTGGAAGACAAAAACCTCTGGTCCCGGTGACTGACCCAGATTCGATCCTGCAACATTATCCTGGGACATTTATATTTGCCTTCATTTGCTGTATAGGGTCTTCTGCTTGAGCAGGGGGTTGGACTAGAAGACCTCCAAGATCCCTTCCAGCTCTGTTCTGATTGAATTTCTCAACCAACATGATTAAATTCTGTGAAGAAGGCAGAGAAGAGGCTGTGCTTCCTGAGAATGCTCAGGAAGATAAATCTATCTCAGCATCTACTTCTGTCCTACTATCGCAGCACCATTGAGAGTGTCCCGACATACGGCATTCTTGCATGGTATGGGAGCAACTCTGCAGTGGACAAAAAAGCTCTACAGAGAATCATTAAAACTGCCCAGAATATCATCGGGCTCCAGCTATCAGCCCTGGACGACATCTTCGAATCTCGCTGTTTGAGAAAGTTGCATAACATTCTCAGAGACTCTTCCCAGCCTGCTTACAATCTTTTTGGACTGTTGCCCTCTGGCAGAAGATACAGAACAATTAAAACTCGGACCACACACCTTCTGAATAGTTTTTATCCCAGAGCTATAATTGCATTCAACAATGAACTAAAGGGCCACCATCAGTGAGCTGTTGGACAGCATTACTTGGTCTGTTGTGTGGATGTTTGGGTAGTTTAGGGGTGGGGAATTGTGGTGGGTGGGGGTGTGTTTGAGGATTGTTATGTGTGTTGGACCTGGTCATTGGGTCTTAAGTGAATTTCGTCGTATGGGTATACTGTGTCTACACGTACCATGTCAATAAAGTTATTTATTTATTTATTAACCTAGACGAAAGCAGCTCTCCTGTTGCCGTAGCAACCCACCAGGTTAACCCACTTACCTCCCCCCCCTTACTGGTCCAGCATCCTCCCCACTGCCCCAATCCAAACCCACCCACCCCTCATGTGTGAGTTGCAAGCAATGAACGAGGCAATCCTGCCCCTTAGGAATACATGGACCATACATACACTAATGGTAGGTAGCCCTCCGCTTACAACCATCCATTTAGCCACAGTCCAAAGTTGCGACATCATTGGAATAAAAAGGTTGCGACCGGTCCTCGTACTTAACGACCGTCATAGCATTTTCCCACAGTCACGTGATCAAAATTCAGGTGCTCGGCAACCGGTATTCTTTCCAACAAGTTGCAGCATCCCGGAGTCACATGACTGCCGTTTGGGACCTTACCAGCGGGTTTCCGACAAACAAATTCAGTTAGGGGGGGAGCCCGATCCACTTAATGACCTTGTGCTTCACTTAACAACTGTGGTGATTTACTTCACCGCAGCGGGGAAGAAAAAGGCTGCAAAATCAGGCCCACCGAACCAGCTTAAAAATGGAAATTCTGGTTCCAGTCGCAGTCAAGGATTACCTTGTACGTCTTTGGACTTTGATGCTTGTCGTTCTGCATTACCAAACTACACAACAGAAAGATGCAAGTGTTGTGATTCTTTGTTGTAATTGTTAATATTCCAATCCAGGTTTGTCTGGGTTGTTTTTGTTTTGTTTTTTAATATTTCCATCGTTTGGGGATTCTTGAAGCTACCCTGAATCTGCCCATCCGGGGGGGCTAACAACCCATTGAAAGCAATAATAACAACAGCAGCCATAATACGCAGGCCATTCCATTCACATGAGACCATCCCGTTATTAGTGGCGGCGGCAGCCCTTCGAGATAACGAGTTGCTACCGGTTGTGCAAACATCCTGAAACTGCTTCACACCCAGTACTAAGTTGGTAATTCGATTCCACCCACGCCCAGCGGCGCAGGGCAGGCTTCCCTTCGCAGTTCTGGCAGGTTTTATTGGCAAAGCCGGGTTGGAGAACAAGATGGAGCAAGGGAATCCGTAAAGCAAGGAGCGACTCTACTCTGCACCGCCAATAAAGGAGATGACAAGAAGGGCAAGAGATCGATACTTCCATTTATTTTATTTATTCATGTATTTATTTATTTCGTCAAGCATGTATTTTATGACAGATACAAGTGTAAACATAATTATAAATACATGAAAAGGATACGAAGAAAAGAAAACATTAGGACAGGGACGGTAGGTACACTGGTGCGCTTATGCATGCCCCTTAAAGTATGAAATAAAGTGAATTATTTAAAGTATGAAATGCTGTCATATTTCAAGATAAATTTAAAATCTTTTAAAAACTGCCACAGGGCCTCCTTTTATATAGCCTGTTACCGTCTTACAGGTATGTGTCTCCAAACCGGGGAGGGGGGGGGTTCTCAGCCTCAATTTTGCAAAAAATAAATAAATAAAATGCAAACTCTGCATTCTCTGCAAGTCATCGGATGTTTCTTAACCGTAACTACTTTAAGATGCATGGACTTCAACTCCCAGAATTCCCCAGCCTGCTGGCTGGGGAATTCTGGGAGTTGAAGTCCATGCATCTTAAAGTGGTTGTGGTTGAGAAATACTGCTCTAAATCATGACTAAACGACTTCCAAAGTCCCTTCCTACCCAATTATTCTATAACAATTCTATGTTGTGGTGCAACAAGCGGAAGCCGGAAGTTCAGTTGTTCAACCATACCATTTTAGCCTCTTGGCTGGCAAGGGTCATCGTCTCCCAGCGGCTCCGTCTGATACTGTAACCAGCCACGCCTCCCGTCTACGTCACGGGCTCGTCATTTGTCCTCCATGGCCCCTGGCTTAGCCACGCCCAGCGGCCCCGGCTCCTCACCCAAAGCCAGGCTTGTTTGTCCGATGACGTCAAGACCCTTTCCACTCCGAACGAGGGAGGAAGGCGGGGCCCGGCGAGTCACGTGGTGCGAGCGCCCTCCCTCCAGGATGGGATGCGTGTGCCGAGTTCTGCGCAACTTTTTGGGAAAAAGCGCAACTTTTTGGAAAACAGATTTATTTTATTTTTATCAATGAGGGTGGGAGGAAAAGGCAAACCCTTAATTAACTGATTAATTTAATTTCTTAATTTAAATTTAATTATATAAATTTTATTATATAAATTTAATTAATTAATTTATAAATTTAATTAATTTATAAATTTAATTGATTTATATAATTTAATTAATTAATTAATTTAATTAATTAATTAATTTCGGCTCCAGAGCCCTTAAAGAGAAAAGGCTTCTGTGTATGGCCATCTGGAATTCTTGCATTCTTTGCACCAAACCGAATGTGTTTTTTAGTGCACAAAAATTTAAATTCCCACCAATGTGACAGTTTGAATGACGTTTTGCATGTTGTTTTGACTTTTGAGCCCGAGCTTGGTGATAAGGGGAGCAGTTGGATTAGTGTTTTAAATGAATAAAATAAATGCCCTTAACCCAGCCATTTGAGGAGGTGGTCTTATTTCATATTAAGACGTTAACAGATTAACAGAGTTGGAAGGGACCTTGTAGGTCATCTAGTCCAACCCCCCTCTCCCTGCCCAAGCAGGAGACTCTACACCATTTTTGACAGATGGCAATCCAATCTTTTCTTGAAAGCCTCCAGGGATGAAGCTCCCACAACTTCCGAAAGCAACTTCTGTTCCATGGGTTGATTGCTCTCACTGTCAGAAAATTCCTCCTTATTTCCAGGTTGAATCTCTCCTTGTTCAGTTTCCATCCTTTATTTCTTGTCTGGCCTTTGGAAAATAGCTTGACCGCTCCTCTCTGTGGCAGCCCTTCAAATACTGGAAGGTTGCTATCCTTTCTCCCCTGGTCCTTCTCTTCACTAGAGTGATTATGCTCAGTTCCTGCAACCGTTCATTGCATGTTTTAGCCTAATCATCCTGTTTGCTCTTCTCTGCTCTCTTTCTAGAGTCTCAACATCTTTTTTATAGTGTGGTGACCAAAACTAAATGCATTATTCTAGGTGTGGTCTTATTAAGGCTTTATAGAGTGGTATTAGTACCTCACATGATCTTGATTGTACCACTCTGTAAACTAAAACATAAACTATAATGGTTTGGCTCTACCTCCCAAGTACAACAGACATAAATCAATCTTGTCTGGAGTGGATATCTATCTGGTAGACAGATCTTTCCTTAGGTAGATCTATTCTATTATTTATCTTTACTTTTTAATTTACTGTTTAACTTTACTTTTCAGTTTCTCTTATGCTTAACTTTTACTTCACTTCATTTTACTTTACTCATAGAGCCATGGATCTTGCATCTGGGACTTTTAAGTGGCTGCTGTAATGGAAACAACCACACAAAAACAAAATACAGATATCAGTGAACATAACCCCATTAAAACCATAGTAAAACCAGATTAACAAAAACTGGAACTCTCCATGCATGATGACAGAGCCCTATTCTGAGATCCTTTTGGAAAACCAAAACCTAATGCAGTCACTTGGACTTCCACAGCACACTAACCATAATCTCAACATGTTCCTTTAGCACAGCGTTTTTCAACTTCGGCCACTTTAAGATGTGCGAATTTCAACTCCCCAAATTCCCAATCCTGGGGAATTCTGAATCCTGATGTCCACGTGTCTTAAATTGATCATGGTTGAAAAACACTGCTCTAACATAGAATTCTTTATTGGCCAAGTGTGATTGGACACACATGGAATTTGTCTTTGGTGCATAAGTTCACATTGTACATAAAAGCTATAAGTGATAAATCATGATCATAGCCATTATGAAATACATTCATCATAAATCATAAGATGCAACACTTAGTGATAGTCATAGGATGCTAAATAAACAATCAACATAAATCATACTAGGAAACTAAATAAAACAATATAAATCGTAAAGATACAAGCAACAAAATGATCGTCATAAGTAGAAAGGGAGATAGGTAATAGGAATGATGCACGGATGAAATTCAGCTGGACCAGACCAGTTCTGGTGAACCGGATGTTAATTTTAATCTGGTTCGCCAAACTTTTAATTGCAAGGACTGGCTGACCCCGCCCACCCCACCCCGCCCCTCCCAGGAGTCTCCACACGGCCTGTTTTGGATGCCAGGTAAGTGCAGCGCCCACGTGGAGGCTCTGGGAGGGCGAAAAACGGGCCTCCTGGAAGTTCCAGAAGTCCGGAAATGGGCTTATTTCTGACCTCCAGAGGGCTTCTGGAGCCCGGGAGAGGCCATTTTCACCCACCTGGAGGCTCAAGAAAAGCCTCCGGAGCCTGGGAAGGGTGAAAATTTCATCACCACCACCCCACCATGATGCAAGAGGCCAAGTAGGCGACGCCTACCATGGCCACACGCACCCAGCAACAGGGCAAAGAACCGTTTGCTAAAAATTTTGAATCTCACCCCTGGAAAGTTGAGAATAATAACAGTAATACATGTTCTATATGTCAGAACAGATTTACGACCGTAATTGCCAGGCTCAGTTATGGTTATAAGTTGAGGGCCACCAGTAGATAGATTTTCTCCGTTGAGTACGGTGTCTTCTTCTGTCATAATTCCAGCACGTGCCACATAGTTTTGAAGCTGAGCATAACAAGCTGATGGAATTTGATGTCACGAAATTATCATAATGGTTTTTAAAAGAATTAGACTAAGACCAGGCCAACAACCTTTAATGATTTTAGGTGACCTTCCGGTTCAGAAAATTCCATTTTAATCAATTACATTACTGTACTCTCTTCCTCGTTCCCTCCGATCTTCCTGTGAATTTGTCAGTAGTGCCAAATGACTTTCAATAAGTACATTAACCCGCAATTGATTTAACACATTTCTCTCTCGTTTTGATTTGTTCAAATGTATTGAAATGGGTTCAGGATGAAAATAAGTGAATGAACGGGGCGCTCTCTGTTAGGAATTTATCCTTAACTATTTTAAACAAATTTAAAAGGAATGCCTGTAGCCTCTTGGTCACCGAATCAATTATTCTTCGCATTCAACCTTCATAACATGGCATAAAGCATAAAATGTAAGCATATAAAATATATATAAATGCAGGGGTGGGCTTCAAAAATTTTAGCAAGGGGTTCTCTGCCTGGCTGCTGGGTGGGCATGGCCATGGTGGGCGTGGCCTAGGGGGGCATTTTTGAGGGGCATTTTTGCCCTCCCCGGGCTCCGGAGGCTTCTCTCGAGCCTCCGGACGGGCGAAAACAGCCTCCCCGGGCTCCGGAGGCCCTCTGGAGGCCAGAAATGGCCCCGTTTCCAGCCTTCCCGAACTTCCAGTAGGCCTATTTTTCACTCTCCCCTAGTCTCTACATGCACCCTGCACTTACCTGCATCCAAAATGGGCCACGTGACATGGGGACGTTCACCCCTGGTTTTGCCCCATTTTAATGACCTTTCTTTCCACGCTTGTTAAATGAATCACTGAAGTCGTGAAAGTTAGTAAGACGGCTTTTAAGTGAACCCGGCTTCCCCCTTGACTGCTTGTCAGAAGGTCACAAGAGTCGATCACGTGACCTGGAGGACACTGCAACCGTCATAAATAGGAGCCAGTGGCCAAACGTCTGAATTTTGATGACGTGGACATGAGGGGGGGGGAATGCTGCAATGGTCCTACGTGTGAAAAACGGCCGTAAGTCACTTTTTTTCAGTGGCGTCGTAACTTCAAACGGTCACTAAACGAACTGTTGTAAGTCAAGGACTACCTGGAGCCACGGGAGACAAAGCGGGCTGTAAATGCATCAAACGGAATAAATAAATTAAAGTTCTAATTCCTATCACAAAGCTGGTTTCTCTTTGCCGCATTCCTGAATTGTAAGTGGCCATTTGCAAACCATAGTGACTATCTTTCATAAATATAAATTCATATAATTCATTCGTATAAATGAATTTCTTTCATTTATAACTTTTTCTGTGAATCCAGCTAAATCTAGAGACTAACCACTGCAGGAGCTCCAGGCAACATTCGTCTACAAGCCATGATTTTTGACTTTTAATGGCTTTTCTAATCAGTAACATCTCTCACAAAAATTCCAGAACTTCAATGTTCATTCTAAAACAGGCCCAGCACCATTGTTAACATTCCTGAACACTCTGGAATATTCCCTAGGAAAAAAACCGAAACCTCACTCTTATAACCTACCAACCCCACCCCAAATTCTGGGTCATCGGTTTTGCATTGTGCTGAGAGATTTTCAAGGCAGGTTTAGCCCCGTGAAGCCGACCGATCGCAGGGAAAAATACTGCAGAATCAGGAATCCGCCATTTTTCTGTCCGTTGCCAAGGTGACAACGGGCAATCCAAATGGTGCCTCTGGTTTAAGAGAAAGTTGATCAGATATCCGAAAGAAGGGGAAGACATTGGATTAATTAAGAATTAAAAATGAAGAAGAGGTTAGACAGCTGTTTGTCTGGAATGGTATAGGATCTCCCACTTGGAGGGTTGGACTAGAAGACCTCCAAAATCCCTTCCAGCTCTTGTTATTCTGTATTCTGCAAATGCGGTAAGTGGAGTCCCGAATAACACTCAAATTAGGGGAAGAGCTCTAAACAATATAAATTTAATCAATCAAAAACAAAAGCACTAAGCAATGGGAAAGAAAAAAAAGTAAAGGTTTGGGTTTTAGAGTAGAATAATAATATAGAATAGAATAGAATAGAATAGAATAGAATAGAATAGAATAGAATAGAATAGAATTAGAGTAGAGTAGAGTAGAGTAGAGTAGAGTAGAGTAGAGTAGAGTAGAATAATATAGAATAGAATAGAATAGAATTAGAGTAGAGTAGAGTAGAGTAGAGTAGAGTAGAGTAGAGTAGAGTAGAGTAGAGTAGAGTAGAGTAGAATAATATAGAATAGAATAGAATGGAATAGAATAGAATAGAATAGAATTAGAGTAGAGTAGAGTAGAATAATAATATAGAATGGAATGGAGTGGAGTGGAGTAGAGTAGAGTAGAGTAGAGTAGAGTAGAGTAGAGTAGAGTAGAGTAGAGTAGAGTAATAGAATAGAATAGAATAGAATAGAATAGAATAGAATAGAATAGAACAGAACATTCACGTGTGCACACTTTGGGCACTTAGCATGTGTTTGGTGCACACCGCACATGCGCATGCAGAGAACCGGTGGCAAACCTCAGAAGATTTCACACTGGACTGTCAGTTTAGCAAGGAGGAAAAAAATGTGAAAGACATTGCTGCAAGAATGCCTCTGCCATTCACTTCTCCTGACAGATAGAGAGAGACAGAGACAGAGAGACAGAGAGAGACAGAGAGAGAGAGACAGACAGAGAGACAGAGACAGAGACAGAGAGAGAGACAGAGAGAGAGAGAGAGAGAGAGACAAAGAAAGAGACAGAGAGAGACACACACAGAGAGAGACAGAGACAGAGACAGGAGAGAGACAGAGAGAGAGAGAGAAAGACAGAGAGACAAAGAAAGAGACAGAGAGAGACAGAGACAGGAGAGAGACAGAGAGAGAGACAGACAGAGAGAGAGAGAGAAAAGACAGAGAGACAAAGAAAGAGACAGAGAGAGACACACACAGAGAGAGACAGAGACAGAGACAGGAGAGAGACAGAGAGAGAGAGAGACACACAGAGAAGAGACAGACAGAGAGACAGAGACAGACAGAGAGAGAGATTTTAAATCAGGAGAATATTTGTCCAACAGCTGACATGTTTGCCCACAAGGTGAGCCCAGGTGGAAATATGACCCACATAAAAACTCACAGGAGCCGGGACAATCTTTTGTCAGCAATTCTATAAGCAGTTTTAAGGACTCCTCAGAACTTTTGGGATTGAGATGAAACTATTTCAATGCTGTTTTTCCCTCTTCAAAGGACCTCTGAAAAAACCAATGCAACTTCTGTTTGTTGCTAGTTTAGCGTTCCACCTCAAAAAGCAGAAATAATCTTGTTAAGTTCTCCGTTAATTTTTGGGAATTTGTTTAAAGGGAATAGAAAAACTGTTGCCTCCTACAGATTCCGCTTGTCTGCAAGCTTTGACTGAGTACATCAAATGCTTAGCCGTCTTTTAATTCAAACCAGGATTAGCCTGATGAAGAAAACATGCCGAACCAAACCATAAACTGACTGCAAAGGTTAAGTTGTACGAATTGCAAAGTTCATGCAAAATGTAGAATGAAATGATGAATGTCAAAAACCGCCTCAGCTATCGCCTTCCACTAATCTGAGGTAGCAAGGAAGGAAATATTGAGATGTTGGACAGAAAAACTACGCTGAACCTTTTAGGAATAAAAGATATTGTTTTATGGAATTCTTAGTCACCTCTCTTGCTAAGCCGACTATTGCTTGATCTACAAAGGAACAT